GTGAGACTACAAACACTCTTTTCTCGGTCAAATAGGCACCAAATTCAAAATTTATGTTACATTTCGACTACATATATAACCCACTTTCAATAAAGATTAATGTTTCCACGGGTGAAATGCTTCTTTAGTGTTTTTACGATGTATCATGATATTTTGCAAATTACATTTGTTTGTTTTATATGTTTGTTTTATTTTTATGTTTCTGCACATTCATGTTTCCTGTTGGATTTAATCTGTGTCTTCTTGTTTGCTGTTTTTGTTTTTTTGAGTGTCTATATGTTGTTTTATGACAGAACAAAACCAAACGTAACAAAGTCCATTTAGTAGACTACAACACTGGCGCCCTCTTCTGCTTCTTCTGTGTAACTTCTGTTAGTCTGAGACTTGTTGGTTATTCCCTAACCTTAGGGAACTGGACCTGAGTGAACCACCAGGGTTTGGATATTGAGATGGTGACAACTTACACATACCTGGGTGCTCACCCTAACCATAAACTGGACTGGTCCAGCAACACAGATGTCCTGTACAAGAAGGGTCCAAAGTCGTCTTCATCTCAGACTGAGGTTCTTTGGTGTGTGCAGGACACTGTTAAAGTCATTCTACGACACTGTGCTGGCATCTGCTATCCTCTATAGTAGTCTGTTGGGGAGCTGAAAGCACAGAGAGGGACAGAAAAAGAACAAACTGGTTAGGAGGACTAGTTCTGTCCTTGACTGCCCTCTAGACTCCATAGAGGAGGTGGGTGAGAGGAGGATGTTAGCCAAGCTGACATCAATCATGAACAACACCACATCATTATTAATACTAGACCTATACTGTATATTCATAAGTCTATAGCTTATATTTCCACTAATCTATACTGCTGTATATATTTTTATCCCTGTGCAATTATTTATTCTTACACCATGCCACTTCCTCCTGCTGTGACCTATGTTCCATATCAATCACATCTGTATATAAAAAGCTGTATATAGTGTACATACAACTTGTATTTAATTGATCTTATCTTATCAGTGTATAATCGCCTGAATATCGTAGTCATTATGTTTTCATTACCTTAGAATGAGTCTTTTTTTATCTACAGACACAACAGGTAGCCTTTCTCGGAGTCTGCCATGTTGAACCACCATGTAAAATATTGTGCAGTTGATACCTCAGCTATCAAACAATTGTATTTAACTTGAGTAATTAATTTTCTGCTGTAATTCTACTCCACTACAATACAAAGGTAAATGTTGCATTCCCTAGATTTATTTGGTCACCTTGGTTAATAGTTACTTTGCAGATTCAGATTAATAGTACAAATGTATTCAACAAATACATACATTTGCTACCTAGCAGTCTGTAAATTATTTAAAATCGTTTCACCTTTATATTATAAAAAAAACCCTCATGTAATATTCATAGGAAATAATCTGCTCAGAATTCATCCAGATCCCTCCTATTACACAAACTTCCTGCAGTTATTGCGTTGACTATTTATGTTAATTGTACAATTATACATTTTGCTGTACTGTTATTGTTATGCATTGAATATAATATGAAATATCTATAAAATATGTCACTTAGTCAGGGGTTGTCAGTTTACTCAATGATACAAAAAGGGGGTCCTTTAGGGAAAAAGGTTGGAGACCACTGCTCTATAGTTACAAAGGGGCTAATCATGCCTTTTTATTGTTTAGTTGAACATTTAGGTGCCCAAGCAGCAATGCTGCTGGAACCCTAAGGTGGAGGATACAGGTGGAGGAGTAATCTTGTTCCACCCAAATACTTCTTTTAAAAAAACATCTCAACCCTCAATGTCTGACAAATCCTAAAGCTCGATTTGCTAAACAACCCATATGAATAATATTAAATGATACATAAAGACTCAACAACAGAAGTTGTAGTTGAGAAAGGACTATGGGGGACAAAGGTAACCATATACACTCTGATGTTATCTTTTAATTATTATTAATAATAATTATAAATAACATGAATCAGCATTTTAGCACATGTTGCTTTCTATACCCACAAATCATCTGAGTAATATATAGTTACATAGTTATAGTTATATAATCACTAAACTTAGGTTTGCATTTGCTATTCCTTCAGAGGTTTTCCAATATATCCACCTTTTTACATTTATCTTTCAGTCTAACACAGGTAGGAAAACCAAGGATCAAGATCAAGGCAAAACACATGTAAATAAAATTTTAATAATTCTCAGCAAAAAAGTAATCCTTCTTCAGTGCTCATCGACAATGAAGAAACACACTTTTGATCCACCAAGCAGAAACAAAGCCATGGATCAGCAGAGGCTTTTTATATGGCAGCATAGTTTGGACGCTTTCAAACAGGCCTGTGTGGGCTCGTAAATCTTGAACTAAATATATCTGCTCTTGTCCTGTCCAATGTGTATATAGATATGCTTTGAATGTTGTAGGGGAAGCCCCATAAAGCCTGTTTTTATTTCACTTTCAATTCAGATCTGCCAGGACCCTTTAAAATGTAATGTACAGTATCTGTGCATTCTTTTTATTTTTTTTATTTTTTTTGCATGAGCTTATTGTTATATTATTGTCAAATACACTGCAGCTGCTATTTCTGCCATAAGAGAAGGAGCTGTTGGTAAACTGACCTCAGTCCAGCTGTGAATCTGTGCATGGGAGTCACCGCTGCAACGTTGCTGATTTCGCCTGAAGGCTTGACAAAAATAAAAGTGAAACCAAGTACTGCTCTGGAACTCAACCGTTTGCTTCTTTGTTCGGTTAATCCAACGTTTACTCCATATGTAGATGGATCTTCCTTCAGAGCCCTACCTTCCTATAATATGATATGATATGGAATAATATGATGGCTGCATAATTTAAGGTACGTTTTTCTTCTTGACTCTTATTTGTAGATCTATATCCTGTAGCCCTGGGTGGTGGATAGAGATGATGCCTCACAACAAAAAATAGAATCATGAAATGATATTTTTTAAAAGCAATCCAAGATGTCATCCATACAATCATGCTTTAAGGTGGTCTATTAGTAAAGGTTCTGTACATTTCTTCACCCTTTTCTCTATTTTGAAAAGAAGAAATCGGCATAATACAAAGTGAAAGTGATTATATAACTAACGGCAATAGCGTGTCATCTGCCTAATTTTTCTTCCTTTTCTCTTTATATCTTGCTCTTTAATATATATATATATATATATATATTATGTATGTTCATGAATGTATTATGTTATTGTTGAATTACAAGTAGTTAGAGACGAGCGAATATTTGCTATAGGCACTAAACGGATTTCGTGATTGTGAAAACTCATAAAGATTGTTGGCGGTAAAACAACACAAATGTAACTATATTAGGCGGATACTGTGTCAGTTTTTTGTTTTATAAAGTACAGGAGTACGTCGCAGACAGCCTAATCTGTAACTGTTTTTAAATGGCTGCACCTAGGCCCTCAACCATCAAAATGTATATAAACACTGTACCATTAAGAACCACTAGATGACGCCAAATGCGACATTATTTTATTAAAGAGGTGTCTTACATGGCCTACTTTATTTCCAAAAACATCTTTAAGATACTGTATATCCAATGGATTAGTGTGTATCTATCAGAGGTGTATGGTGCTTCTTAAAGACAAATTCTTAAAGATGAAAGATGGATTTTACTTGTGCTTCTTCCACCACTGATCTAAAACATAAAATGATCACATAAAATATCAAAGTATTGTAATCTGAAGTATTCAAATCATTCACTCAAGCAAAAGTAGCAACAATGCAATATAATAATACTCCATTACAATTAATAGTTCTGAAGAGAACATGCCACTTAAGTAAAAGTATGTATTATTAGCTGTCATAACCTGGCCCATAGGCCATGAAAAAAGTGGAAAGGACACAGCTTTGCAAAAAGTAACAAATATTTATTATAAAAAATATCTTAAACGCAACTTGAAATATGAGATGCGTTTGTTTGTAGTATCAGTGGTGTTCATGTGGATGAGTGTGAGTGTAAATCAAGGTGTTGTGGAGTAAAAAGTGAGATAACTTAGCAAACAAAGCAAAAGGTGCTGGTTGGGAGGAGAGAATGAGAGAGAGAGCGCAGGAAGCGGGAGCTTTTATGTCCCGCACGCACTGGGCCCA